CACTCAGGAGTGTTAATGTCACTACAGAGTACTGCTTTTTTCCTGCTCGTTCAAGGCAGTGCTAGCTTAACCAAACACTGGTTTGGGGCAGTGTGTGTGTGTACAGAAAACATTAATTATCTTTTTATCTTATTTGATTAAAAGATAAGTTATCTAAAGGATTACTTGGGTTGTTCCCTTATTTCACTAATCATTCACCATAAAAGTATTTGCTTCAGGAGCATACTGTCAACCTTATAGATGGAGAAGAAGCTGCTAGAGAACAATGACCCTGTGGGATGATTTTAACGTATTAGACAATAGAGGTGGGGCAAACTGCTCTACTGAGATATGCTCAGAAGAGACCAGTCCATTTCCTGTCTCTCATCTTTTTGTGATTCTGATGTTCTCTTTCTCTCTGTGGCGATGTTCATCGGTGCTAGGTATCAGCTCAAGAGAGTCAGCTGGAGCACAAGAGAGGAGAGAAGAGCTGTTGAAGACAGACACTGTCAGATGGAAAAGAGAAACCAGTAGCTGCACATAGGCAAATAGTAAAACTAAGCCCCTCTTGGAAACTTTGGAGAGAACGATATACTTGAACCATTTAGGCATTGGGAATCAACAGGCATCTTAGTACCCCTGCAGCCCACCCCCCATCAAGTCCTCTAGCAAAAAATTACTTGGGACTATCTGCTCTCAATGCCCAGAGCATCCAACTGTTTTAGCTAAACTGGGTCTGTTTGCTACTTTTTGTTTGTTTTCAACCTTATGCCGTTTGCTGTGCACAAAATGAGACCCAGCCTTTACCTTCAAAGGAGCTTGAGTTGCATCTCTTGGCAATTCCTAGTGCTCCATGACCATGCTGAATGCAGAGCAGAGCAGGTGGATTTCAGACAAAACTGACCACATGCTGAAAGTAATGCAAATGGAGAAACTCTGCCCTGTACCCTGGGGAACAGTGCATGGAGAACAGTCCTGGGAACAGTATGCAGGAGATACGTTTGAATTCCCACAGCTGAGAAGGGTCTAGAATACCTTCTACTTCCTGGATGCTTAATAATCATGTGTTATACAGAAGATGGGCACCATTTTCCTCTTTCAGAAGAGTAATCTAGTCATCCATTATATCTGCAGTAGTGGTTTGGGCAGTAGAATAATGAAGCAGTTTTAGGTTATGAATCTAAATAGTCCACCTGCTCTGCCTGTCTGAGTGACAGGCAAAAATATCAAATGTCTCTTGTAAGCATTCCTTGTCAGCTGGTGTGATAAGAACTCCCCACCCCTCCATGTACATGGGTCACATTGAAGTGCTGATCTTGCCCTAATTTCTGTAATGAGCATTTAAGAGCCTGACTCACGATAATGTTTGCTATTCCTGGTTGGGGTACTTTTGATAAATCAAAGTTTATTAGTTCAGATAGATTGCCATACCTCTTCTACTTCCAAAAGGGCACAGTTGGTCCTAGATCAGATCGCTAAGCTGCACTGTACGGTGTAGGCATTCTCCTGACCTAGAAAGTAATGCAAGTGCTTTTTTCAATAACTGTAATGTGCAGTAGAATGAAATAGTTGTCAATTTTGTGTAACAATCTCTAAAGCCCATAGAAGTCAATAGGAGTATTTTTACAAGATCCTAGTGATTTCCCTAACAAGACCTAATATTTCATAAGCTTCTTGAATGGACAGTGTAATACAGCCCTAACAAGCCACATTCATGCTGCTTTGGGTTATATCTTGCCAGATCTCAGGGTATTTTATTTTCCATATAGATCATTCTTTGCTTGTATTTCCTGTCTACCTCTTGGTCACTCCTTTTTTTTTTTTCTCAAAGACTCAACTCTGTCTCCGTTAGGGCTTTCTCGGTGAAGCCTGAAGTGAAATGCATGTAGTCTATGTCAGTTTTCTGGATTTATCTTTAATATACATGTAACTTTCTGAAATTGCTTTCAGGGAAGCCTCTTATGTACCTGTGTGGTTGCTAGGAGATAATATGTGAAGTGTTTCATGGTGTAGCAGAATTTAACTCTTTTGGGGGAGTGTTGTCATGGTAACTAAAACCAGTATTTTCTGGACTTCAGAATAACTCAGCGCTAGCAGGATTATGGCCTTAGAAAATCTGCAGTCACCTTTATGGGTATAAAAATAAATGTACTGTACTGATACCTTGTAGAATGCAGCATGTATTTAAAATGCATCATTTTGTGATTGAGACTATGAGTTCGCAATAATGGGTGCCAAGTGATTGTTTCCTATGCCTTACTGTCCTTCTCTTGCCTGGTTTAGCAGTTGCGTTTCTACCCCAGTAAGTCAGCTGTCTTGCTGTGTAGCAATAGCTGATCACTCACTTTTCTGGGAGCAATTTGTTTGGGGCAATTTTTACAATACAAGAAGCTCATTCTCTAGGAGCTCTCAGCACTCCCCAGAAGGCTTTTGGCTAGTGAAGCTTGAGTTGCCTTTCCTTTTGGTGGGGAAGGAGGGCTATCCAGAGGTACGTTATTTTTTCTGAGTGAAAAATGCTGCACAGCGTTCTGGAGGTAGCCTCTAATTCAGGTAACTGTTTTCAGCTGAGAGGAGTAGTTAGCCCGTGTGTTCACAAGCAGTATTTTTCTCTTGCAGATCAACTGTTTGTGTCAACCATGGATCCAGTCCCTCAGCATCCACATATTTATAAATTTATATCCCACCTGTACTGTCAGTTATAAAAGAACAAAATATCACAGAATCACAGAATGGCCAAGGTTGGAAGGGACCTCTGGAGACCATCTAGGCCAACCCCCCTGCTCAAGCAAGGTCGTCTAGAGCACATTGCCCAGGACCGTGTCCAGACAGCTTCTGAATATCTCCAAGTCCAGGAGACTCCACAACCTGTCTGGGAAACCTGTTCCAGTGCTCTGTCACCCTCCCAGGAAAGAAGTTCTTCCTCACATTCAGATGGAACTGCCTGTGGTTCAATTTGTGCCCGTTGTCTCTCGCCCTGTCACTGGGCACTACTGAGAAGAGTCTGGCCCCATCCTCTTGACACCCTCCCTTCAGATACTTATATACATTGATCAGATCCCCCCCTCAGTCTTCTCTTCTGCAGGCTAAACAGGCCCAGCTCTCTCAGCCTTCCTTCATAGGAGAGATGCTCCAGGCCCCTCATCATCTTGGTAGCCCTCCGCTGGACTCTCTCCAGTAGTGCCATGTCTCTCTTGTACTGGGGGGCCCAGAACTGGACCCAGCACTCCAGGTGAGGCCTCCCCAGGGCTGAGGAGAGGGGCAGGATCACCTCCCTCGACCTGCTGGCAACACTCTGCCTAATGCACCCCAGGATCCCATTGGCCTTCTTGGCCACAAGAGTGCATTACTGGCTCATGCTTGATCTGTTGTCCACCAGGACTCCCAGGTCCTTCTCGGCAGAGCTGCTTTCCAGCAGGTCAACCCCCAGCCTGTACTGGTGCATGGGGTTATTCCTCCCCAGGTGCAGGACCTTGCACTTGCCTTTGTTAAACTTCATGAGGTTCCTCTCCGCCCAGCTCTCCAGCCTGTCCAGGTCCCTCTGAATGGCAGCACAGTCTTCTGGGGTGTCAGCCACTCCCCCCAGTTTAGTATCATCAGCAAACTTGCTGAGGGTGCACTCTGTCCCTTCCTCCAGGTCATTGATGAATATATTGAACGAGACTGGACCCAGGACTGACCCCTGGGGGACACCGCTAGCTACAGGCCTCCAACTAGGCTCTGCGCCATTCACCACAACCCTCTGAGCTCTGCCAGTCAGCCAGACATGATGTTCCTTTAGATTACCTTAGTTTCCGTGAATAGAGAGTTATTCTGTAAGTTGTTCAAAACACCAGTTCATTCCTATATCCACTGATTCGCTCATCCAGTGCCCATATATTGACTATGGGAAAGGTAAAGCTTAGATTTATTTTGAAAAACCCCTCAGCTATATGGTGCTACTTTAGAAAGAGACTCAATATGAAGCTCTTAATTACTTGAGTTACCTGCTGCTTTCAAAAAACGGGTTGAATTTTGATGCAGATTCACATTTTTGTTGATGGCTTTCCAACACAGTCTCTTGCTTTGTATTCATAGTGCAGCTGAGGAAGCAGCACTGTTTCTAAAAGGATGGGAAAATTGGACCAACATCGGTTGGTTTCAGAGCATGGAAGAGTGGGAGCAGAATTTGCAGAAATATGGGCCATCTGAGCTGCTGCACAAAGAATCCCATAGATCAATCACATAGAACAACTGTTTGCTCCTTGATTTCTATGAGTTTACAGAGTACCCAGCCAAACGTGTGTGTGCAGGTATATTATAAAGTGACATTTAAATAAGAAATCCAGAGTCACTGCAGTTAGCTGGGAGACTCTGCATTAGTGGAGTCAGTAACGTCTGTTAGGAGGTAAGGGAATGAGACAAAATGGGCAGAATGGAGTTCTGAAGCAATGTAGCTATTGGAAAACAAGCTATTAAACAGCTATTTATAGGCCTAGAACAAACTGTGCTCGCAGCCAGTTTGCATGTAGAGCTGTAACCTGTTAAATTTAATTACAATTTGTTTGTTTATTTTTGGAGCGGCAGGGAGAGGAATCAGTGTGAAGGTCAAGGGGCTGATTCCCCTCTTATTTTATGCATATTTTAATCAAAACAGCAGAATGCTTACCATTAGCAGACAATTTAGCACTGAAAAAAGATCATGTTAATCTGATGTGAAACTGGGCGCTCACTCTGCAAAGTTAGCTTTGGAGCTCCTTTCGGCACTCACTTTTCCCTTTGTTCTTAGGTGGGCCAGTTTTCCACAGGGACTACTGAAGAGACTTTCTTCTCCCTGCCACTGCTTAGAAATCTGTTTAAAGGCACCGTTGAACTTGAGCTTCGTCAATGCTCATCATTTTCCTGCAGTTATATTTATAAATGTGCACAATGATTATTATTAAAATTCAACTTACCTAATCAAGCCATTGTGCTAGCCAGAAAAACAAGAAATCTCTCTTAGAAAAAGAGGGGGAAAATGAGACTTCAGAGTTTGTGCATGTCTATTTTGGAAGTGAAAGAAAGATCTTCTGAAACTTTGAGATCGAGACTTTCCCCAGGGTAGGTGATAACCTGGTGGTTTTGGTGCTATCTAGAGATGAGACACCCAGATTCAATTCTCTGTTTTGAAAGAGTCTGAACAGGTTCTCCCCTGTGAGTCCCCAACCTCCTGGGCTGTTGGCTGTTGTGAATTTCTCTTCCTCTAGGTTCTAGGAGCTTCCCTGAAATCTGTCGATTTCCAAAGAGTTCCTGTCGTGATGAATCACTACCTCCTAGTGTTGCAAAGTAAGTAGTTTCCTGGAGAGCTGTATAATTACATTAGAAGGTACCACAAGCTTTCAGAAAAAGGTGTTATATTACTTAACATACATGAATGGTTTTATTGTGAAATGTAGTTAGAGTTGTGTTTGTGCTAAGCTGTGTTGTGCGCTTGTGGAATAGGTGAGCAAATAGGATGCAGAACACCTTGCTACTGATTTATTTCAGGTTGCTTCCTGTTACCTGAGAGAATGCAGTGGGGGAAGCCAGGATGACAAGGCAAGAGATCTCAAGAGTTTCGATTTCTTTAGTTCTGGAGCAGTGGGTGAGTTGGGGAGGCAGAGGGGCTGGCTGAAGCTGCTGGACAGCTCACACGAATCTCCCCAGCACTCTGGCAGGGGAGATGCACCGTGCTCATCAGCGCCTTGCAGGCTTCCTTTAGGAGGACTAAAGGACTAAGTTGGTTGTCTTTTTTTTTTTTTTTTTCCCCAGACATAAAAGCTGAACTAGAGTACAGATAAGCATCAGGATGTGGTGGCTAGTTAGAGAAGAGGTAGATGAAGTGAAGGCCTGAGATGGGCTAAGCAGAGTGAGACTTACTTATTCAAATGAAAAGAAAGGTTGGAACAGTTGTGAAAGGAGCATCTGTCATGGGATGGAGGAGGCTAGAATAGGGACTTAAGCAAAAGGGAATAGGGCTGGAGGGCACACTGAAGGAGTGTTTTGGAAAAATGATAAGTCTTGATGGCACAGAATGATCATGAGACTTGGGAGTCTTGAGGAGTTGTGATGTCTGAATTTATGATTCGTCCAGATCCTATAGCTACACGGCAATAATGTAGCTTGCAACTCAGTGCTGAGAATTTTACATATTATAGCAATTTTCTTGAAAATACTGTTTCTGGAATTTATTTATAGGCATCTTAATGGGCTTATAAAGTAATTCAATTATATATCTGTTTCACTGCAATAGGGAATGCGTAGGAGGTATTCTGTTTTGTAAATTTGTAGTAGCATGTCCACTGCTGCCTAAAGCCACCTAATTATCTGTGCTTCTCTGTGTTTTTTACTTTTTTCCTCATCAAGACAGCAGAGCGCTCTCTAAATCTGTATAAATCTATATTTGAGAGCGAGAGAGAGAAGTATCTATTATTTACCCAGACAAGTTGAAGGCTACTAACCAGTCTGTTTCCCAGTGCAAGTTGTACATTCTTGAAAGGAAAAAAACGTCTTAACTTCACCTGCCTTTTTCCTTGTCTGGAGTACTGCTCCAGACAAACTATACTACCTTGCCATCACATTGGGACATTTAGGGGAGAAGTGTTGGTAGCTAAATGGATGTTTTTACTGTAAGACAGGAAAGGGAGCTGACTGGGAGGGTCTTGTTGTAATGAGGAGAAAAAAAAAAAAAAAAAAAGCAGGGCATAGCCAAAATTATTGTAAAGTAAAATGGGGATACTTCTAGTAAAACTTAAGTGAAATGACAGTGTTTACTCCTGGGCTCCAAGCCCAAATGGGTTATTCCCAAGAGAGTACTTGCACAGTGTATTAGTTCTGTGGGTCTGGTACACAGGAACAAATTTAATCCATAGCTTTTTCATTTGAAAGTGACTTTGTATAAATGTTGTAATTTTATGTGGCGCACCAGGTTTTTTGTGGATTCTAACATTTCTGCTCATTTCAGTGACAGATAAGCTGGAGTGAGCAACAGAACTTTCTTTTTTTTCATATGCCGTCAGTGGAATTGTTCACGTTTCAAAAAGATTTTTTTTCTAATGTGATTGAAAACTGTGAGTTTGATAGATATCAAGGGAAGAGCTGAAGGGAAATAGTTGTGTCAGTCTTGAAATTTTAAGTATTATATTTTTATTTTATCATTTTAAGTTAGCTTATATGCATTTCGGTGTTGGAGATGTCAGACTTTTTTTCAGGCAGACAGCAAGCTTAGTTAATTAACTGAAAATTTCAGGTGTGAAGCCAAGTGTTTAAGCTTTAAGGTTAAATATGATAGAGTTATCAATAAAATAGAAACTAGCCAGACTGATCAATGTTACTCTCGGAAAGTGTGGGGATACTGTGTGGCCTCTGCTAAGATCTTGCAATAAATTAGATCTACATGCTGCTCTTGGAGGTTTGGGTCTTCCCTGATGTACGTGGAACAAAGTCATGAATTTCAAGTGGGTTCCTGGGTTTTGTCCTAATACCTACCATTTTATCCTGACACATGCTTACAGAGTTTGAAGGGGGTGGGGGAGAAGGAGGAAAAAAAAGCACGTGTTGAGAAATTTTCTTAACAAAAAATAGTTCAAAACAACAGTTTCAGGCTTTGGGCTCAAATTTGTTTCTTTCTTTCCTGCCATATCAACTTAGAAAGTTCCTTTGTTGTCTATTTGCACATACACTGTTAACTGAAACAGCTGATCTACATGCAGATCTTTTCTGGCCCTCTGCCATTTTAGTGGCTTAGGGACCATCCATACAGTTCAAAGAGCTCAGTAATGAATCATCTTCAAAGAGGGGAATCCTTTTCATGGGTTCCACCAGATTTATACAAGAGGTTATTTTTAGATCAAGGATTTTTCATTTAGAGCATTAAGACATCTGTGGCCTCGCCTTAGATTTGAAAAATCTGCTCTGCGGAAAGTAATTCCTTCAAGGCCATCCTTTTATGTTCACTTTATTGCTATTTTTCATTTGATTGCAAGTAGTCTGCAGACTAAAGTCAAAGAGGGCTCTGTATTTCTGTAGCTTGCACAGAAAGTCCTGTTTTCCTGTATGGTTAATGCAGATGGTTGCCTGTGTTAGGATGATGCTTAATCACCATGCTAACTGGGTTTGCTCTCTGGGATCAATGCATGATGCAGTTTAACTATTTGAGTCTGAGATACATGTATGTTTACAACTTGGTATTTTTTTTGAAGCACGTGCAGTTTTTTGGCATATAGCACGTTAAATAGCAAATGAAAAAAGAATATCTTCAGGACACCCCTGTTTTATTTGGAAACTTTGAAAGTATAGCTGCACAGGATTCACTGGAATAAAATGAAGGAGGATGGAGACAACATGCTCATAGTTGCAAAGTGTTTCAATTTGTGTTACTGTTGAAGTAAAATGGTGTTGGAGATACATGAGCATCTTTGAGTTTGGGCAGGGGAGCTATGCCTAGAAGATACTGCCATCAGGCAGATTTAGGAATGTCTGAGTGGTAAAGAAGGACAAAAAGCCTCTGTGCACTTCAGAAACTTTTAGGAGAAATCAGGTTAGCTTTGACTATGGGCGTACACTATAAGAACGTTTAACAGAACTAGCCTTCTAACTGGACACCAGAACGTGAAGAAGATAAGTGGGAATGTTTCTGAGGTGCTTACAAGAAGTACTTTTTTTTTTGTATATCACTTCTTGTCAATAAAGGAAGAACAGTGTTTTACTTCAAAATTTAATGAAAGCTTAAAATACAAAACAATATTCAGTGATACCTCAATAAAAACTTTATACCTTTTTGCACTTCCTGCCCCAGTGCAGAAGTGTGCAATTCATACATGTATTCTGGAAAGAACAGCCAAATGGGCACGCTTTTGAATGAAGCATCTGGACCAATGGACCCTTAGCCACACAGGAGCACCCGGAGGAAAAGGCGAGTGATAGTAGGAAGTGACTGCAGGGGCACCCATCTGCTGACCTGACCTCCTGTCTAGAGAGCTGGGGGCTTGAATCCAAGATGTTGTGGAGAGACTGTCAAACTTGTCTACCCCTCTGATTATTATCCTCTGCTGCTCTTCCATGTGAGCATCAATTATACTGCTAAGTGCAACTTGGAAAGTATCAAATGTGACTACAGAGCTCTAGAGGAGCTGGTCACGGGTATGGGGGCCGAGGTGATTTTCTCCTTGATCCTGACAGTGAGGGGGAAGGATGTGAAAAGGAATGAAAGGCTGCTGCGAGTCAACAATTGGCTGTGCAGCTGGAGTTGGCAACAGGGTTCTGGTTTCTTTGACCGTTTGATGCTGTTTGAATTATCAACATCTGCTTGGGAGAGATGGGATCCACTTCATTAAGCAGAGCACACATCTTTGCCAACAGGCTGGCTAACCTGGTAAGGAGGTCTTTAAACTAGGAAAGAAGGGGGAAGGGGAGGGTTATAGGGATCACACAGTCAACAAAACAGGGCTAAAGTGGGAGTCCCTCAAGCATTTGCATGCAGGCATGCAGGAGGTACCTAAAGACAAGGCTATGGGGAAACTGTTGCACCCCTTCTGGGAAATCGGCACACTCAGATGCCTCTCTGAAGTGCTTTACACAAATGCACACAGCATGGGGAGTAAACAGGAGGAATTAGAGATCTCTGTGCAGTTGCAGGGCTATCATCTCATTGTGATTACAGAGACATAGTGGGATAGCTCGCATGACTGGAATGCTGCAGTGGATGGCTACAGGCTCTTTAGGAGAGACAGGCCAGGAAGGTGAGGAGAGGAAGTTCCCTTTATGTGAGAGAGCAGTTGGAACATGTGGGCTGACTGAGAGCTTATGTACCCATAAGCTCTAATAAGATAAGGATTATCAGGCAGACCAACATGGGTGGTACCATTGTGGGTGTTTGCTATAGGCCACCTGATGAGGAAGAAGTAGATGAGGCCTTCTACAGACAGCTGGAAGTAGCCTCGCATTCTTAGGCCCTGGTCTTCATGGGGACTTTAATGACCCCAATCTGCTGAAGGGACAACGCAGCAAGGCACAAGCAATGCAGGAGGTTCTTGGGGAGCATCGATGACAGCTTCCTGATACAAGTGACAGGGAAGCTGATGAGGAGAGGTGCTCTGCTGGACCTCAGACTTACAAACAAGGAAGGGCTGGCTGGAGACTTGAAGGTTGGGGGCAGCCTTTGTGGTGGAGCTCAGGATCCTGTGAAGAGGGAGGAGGGCAAAGAGCAGGATCACAACCCTGTACTTCAGCAGAGCAGACTTTGGCCTCTTCAGGGACCTCCTTGGAAGAGTCCCATAGGATAGCATCCAAGAAAGAAGAGAGATCCC